TCAGGGACGTGTAGGGCTGATATATATTAGGTCATCTCATTCAAACATGTCCACGGTTTTATTCGAATAAAATGAACAGCAGGAAAGATAAAAAGCTAATACTTTGGTGTTAAGTCAAGCAGATCTTGTCGTTGTTAACGACCCGATCCCAGCGTCTAGAAAACACTGGACACCGCGCAGCTTTTTCATTTCAACAAGTATAGACAAGATGCTTTTGATGTCAGTATAGATGATCAACGAATTGTCGTAGCGCTTCCGAACGAGTAGGGCGTTCAGTTCGATAAAACAGCTGAGGTCGCATGGCTGCAGTTGGGAAAATACGGCTGATAAGAAGAGGTCACAATATCCGTTTGGTCGAAATACCCGTGAGCAATATGAGCTATGTAGGGTCTGGCATCGACATAGGTGATGATATCGTTATTGTAGTTTTCTACTGCTATTCCTTTGTCAATTTGATCGCTAAGAAACAAGCCATACACTTGAGCACCGATGGAGGTTTTTTCCCGACAGAGCCGCTTAAGAGGCACATCTCAGAAATCCATCGCCATAATCATCATCCACGTGAACCCACGTGACTTCTCGTGATCCAATTCGGGTAGTTCCTCATTCGCGTTAATCCAAAGTTGACACTTCTGACTTGGCCTCAGCGTACAATTACACACAAATTTCGTTTATGAGCAGGGTCCAGTTTGATAGTCTTAAATGCCGTTATTGGCAGAGAAAATCATTGCTACAGACACCAATTCGATTCTGGACTCCTGCATCTGGGAGTAAATGAGATATCCAAAAACATGTTCTGTGGACCATCCCAATTTTTGGGCACAATTCGCGTAACAGCTGCAGCTAGACTGCAAGTCTCGTGGGCAAACATCGCAAAGGTTCAACATCTGTGATGCGCCATTTGAAACCTCATTTCATCCACCCGCTCTTCTTGGGCAAGGTGGACAATGTGAAGCGCGTCCTCAACCACAACTCGCATCCGTTCTCCCTTCTTTGAGCTCTCACACCATATCTTCAACGTAGCACTTCGAGAACACTGTATCACGCGTAAGCTGAGCCAGCACACAGAGAATTCGAGTTGCGAATTTTACGTGTGTCACCAATCATTTGGAAATTCCGCCTCGATTTTGGTCACAATGAGTTTTCTTATATTTTTAAGTGTTCCTTCTGCGGCACTACAAACTTAATTGGAGGTATACCGTAGCTAGGTGTGCTAGCTTTCAAAACAAAAGCAAGCAGAATGCTCTAGCTCTTTTACTTTTCCCACCATTTCTCCAGATGTCTGGACATGTTTGAATGAGATGACCTAATACTTTGTCCACGAAGGCTACAACGAAATTAGCGGTACTCAAAATCCTAACTTCTTTATCAACCGTTATCGGTTGTTATCGCTTTTGATCACCCACTATCCGTGTTCCCGTCCCATCCCCTATACCACATGTGACAGCCAAGGTTCCAATGTCACCGCGAAGGGCCGCAACGAAACTGGTGGTATCCACACTTTGACGCCCCTTATCAGTTCTTATCAGTTGCTACCACATTCGTTCACTCAACTTCTTGGTCCCCGCCTCACCCCACATATCATACATGAGTGCAAACTCTCCACCGTCAACGCGAACGGCGTAACGAAATTGGTGACATCAACATTTCGACGTCCGTTATCAGCTCCTATCAGTAGTTATCACTTCCCGCCACCCACCATCATCAGTGTTCACCCCTCGGTCCCCCTATATATCCTAGAAGTTTGAGCGCTCTGGGTCCAAAAGGGAGTGAAGTTATGAATTTCCGGTCAGACACACACACAACCGCTTAGCCGATTATATATATATACCAGTTTAGCTCCGCCCGCTACCGCGCGCATTGATAGAACTGACAATCGATGAAGCTTTAGGTTTCACCGCTAAATTATAGCTGCTTCGTTAAATGTATTACTGTCCGTTGCATAGGCTGCCCATCTTGGCTGTATCTCACTGTTTGATAAGCGCAGTGAAGTGCACAGCTAAAGTGATGATGTAAACAACCACTATGCGTCGAGTATCGAGGTAATTTAGCGGTCGAATATCTCAAAACGGAATGCCTAGTATTCATTATCATATTTATTCGAGCATCCCATTCATCCTCAAGAACTCTAGAAGGTGTAGCGGTCGAAAGGTGTTTGAGTTTACAATTACAACGCTGATGAAATGATATTGAAATGAAAGGCATTATCTACAATCTGCTCTCTATTTTCTATTTCAAGTGCTCTCTACGTTCGTACGCATATCGTTATATCAGTCCTCATCAGTCGTTATCACTTGGTGACCCCCACCAAATATGTTCCCGTCCCACCCCCTATATCATGTCCCAAAATCAGCTCCTGACGACTGCTGCGAAGCGCACTATGAATTTCGCGACACTTGCGTTCTAGCGCCTTTATCAGCTCTTATCAGTCGTTATCACTTTGTGACCCCCACCAAATATGTTCCCGTCCCACCCCCTATATCATGCCCCAAAATCAGCTCCTGACGACTGCTGCGAAGCGCACTATGAATTTCGCGACACTTGCGTTCTAGCGCCTTTATCAGCCCTTATCAGTTGTTATCACTTTCTGTACCCCACCAAATATGTTCCCGTCCCACCCCCTATATCATATCTTGAAACCAACTCCTGACGACCACTGGTGCCCGAGCTATGAATTTCCGGTCAGACAGACAAACACACACACACACAGACACACACAACCGCTTAGCCGATTATATATAGTAGGATTACGTGGAGGCAGCCTTCCAGTTGTTCACTCCCCATATCAAAATAACTTGACCGGCAAGTTTTCGGATACGTATCCATTCTAAAATTTGCAAACCTTCTTGTTAGGAAAGTGCTGCAATCTGGACTCATACATTTTGCTATGAAGGCCTGCAACAAGTGGCGAAAATGGGACCATACCATCCGGGGAAGCTCCGCCGAAGGAAATGTGGTTCACTGCACTAGCAAACCCGTCATTATTTTCAGCGCGATTCGCTGGATATCAGCAAAGCATGCTGGCAACAGCTTATCCACGCAACTTCTATCAAGTGCACGTCACTTCCGGTGACACGCCTACCCCAACTTTCGGATATCGACTGTATGCTACCAACAAATCATCTTTATTCATTCAGTGCTTTTATTCGCAGGGCGGGATCACAATTTGAACACACCTCTGATAATGCCGCTCAAGATAAAGATTTGAAGATCAAGAATTATTTTGAACTTTTCAAATTCGACTGGTGCTTCAAGTGATGAACCCCTCCAGAAGAAATACTCAGAGTTTTGGGTTAGGCGTAAGTACACAAAACAAAAATTGAGCGAAGGTCGCAAAATCCGGATCTCAATCTTATACAATACGAAAGAAATACAGCCGATATCCGAAAGTTGGGGTAGGCGTGTCATCGGAAGAGACATGCACTTGGTAGAAGTAGCGTACTTACCTATGCCAACTCTCGGATATGGAATATATGTTCCTCCAAACAAGCAAATGGTTCTTTATTTATAAGCAGCAGCCGCTGATACCGATGAAATTTCAAGGTAAAAACGCTATAAGATGTTTCGCTAAGGACGAGACAGACGGAGAAAGGAACAATCGCTTCCTGCCGTTGATTTCACACTTGGGTGAACTTAAGATAGGACTGGACTAGCGTAACCTCGCAGGAGATAGAATACGATTCTTTAAGGCAGGGCAGTACGGCTATTTGAAATGGAGTGCACCTATAGAAAAAAATAGACAAATGCTAACGGAATCATATAACAACCCAGTGATATCAATGCTGGTTCGTATCAAGTGGTGGATGGGCCCGAGTTAGGGATAGGGGAATAAAGGATAAAGGATAAAGCATTTGCCGTTGATCAATCCCTTTTTGGGATGCGGCACGCATTCTACTTCCATTTGTACATTCGTAGTGGCGTTTGAATGCGATGTGGCCTATACAATGACTTGCGGGGGCCAGCCGATGTACAAGTCAGTGTTTTTATCCTCCCAGACAAGTCTGGTACCAATTAACCGACCCCGGAGGGATGGAAGGCTTGGTTGGCCCGGGCGACTCACGACCCAGGATTTGATCCCCGGACCGCTCGCGTGGTAAGCGTGCCACTTGCCACTACACCACTTCCGCCCGCACCAATTTGGCGGAGTTATTCACAAAACATAGTCCCGCCCAGTAAGCCCTAGAGACCGGGAAAAAACTGGATCGAGTCTGACAACAAAGGGATGTCAAGTGCCACTGGTGGGCGAGGCGTGCAATAAAGTGGGCGAAGTTTGTCCCGAAAGTGCATTTCCACGAAGTCTCAGAGGCCAGGAAATAAGGGGTACATGTCGGAAAGGTCAACTGCCATTGGTGGGCGCGAAAGGCACTGAAGTGGGCGGAGTTTGCCATGAAAATTCGTTCGTGATTTCCGCTCCAAGAAGTTCCGAGACCGAGGAAAAGGGGAAGGTCGGTGAAGGAAAAGAAGCACTGCTATTGCTGGGGACATGCACCGAAGTGGGCAGAGTTCGCCCCTAAATTCATACTCGGCTTCAAGCATGTCATGGGACGCCGAGGGAAAAAAGGGAGGCGTACGGTGGAGGAACAAAAGGACGCGCAAAATGTAGGCGGAGTTTGCAGCGAAATTTTACAACTCGGTCTCCCAAACCTATAACTCGGTTCTAAGAATTCACTGCCACCGGGAAAATGTGGATAGAGGTTGGCAAAGGAAAGGAGAACAACCGCCCCCAGTGGGCGGGGAATAACTAAAGTGGACGGAGTTACCCAAGAAACATCCTGCTTTCCATAGAGCGCTTCGCCGTCTGCCTCGTCGGTCACGGATGACGTCCGCCAGAAATGGAGACCAAAAAAGGGTCTTACTTTTACTTGCTAACCTTCATTTCATTACATGGCCTCAAACAACATGCAGAAAACATACTTGCTATATTAAAAAAACCCCCGTACAGCGACCAAGAAGATGTGGATACTGCGAGTAAACAACTCCAATACCATTTGAATAGATGGATGATAAGAAATTTCTCGTCTGTGGTGGTCAATCTTGGCAATTCTTCTTTCGACAGGTGGCCACAAGTAAGCTTTTAAAGTTCATCCCTAGAAATGGGCTTTTTTTAGCAACTACTTTTCAGAATACAAATGTGTACCGCGTGAACTCCATCGATGCCGACTACATTGCCGATGTCGTAGACAATCCAATTTGTTGGTGAGAAAATTCGATGGGCTGTTAGTACACTCAATGGACGGTACAAAGAAAACAAAATCCAAAACTCAACAGCAGAAGCTGCTGTTCACAAAACGATCACAACCCCCTTTATCAATGGGACTGTTTTGCCAATTTCAAAATTTTGTAGGGATGTGAATGTCACTTTCAGAAAGCAGCGGTATGAAGGAGCCTGGAAATGGGCAAAAAATTAAAGTAAAAATTGTTTCGGCACGTATGCAATAGACTCGTTCGCTGTGACCAATCACACTACTCCAACCGAGCTGCTATGACCAGAACTTCATATTTTTGTATATTGCACGAAATATGGAAGAGCAGCGTATTCGGCAACCTGATTCATCTAATCTGGAGAGCTTCCAGCAAAGTCTACTGCGAACATAAGAGGCCTTCGTAGAGCTAGAAGGGGACAGTTGACTAGCTCAGGCGCGACCTCACTGATACCCACCCCTCCACTAAGAGTTGAGCAACATGGAACCGTTGAGGAGATGAAATTTTTAGGAGGAAACGAATTTCTCAATTTTTTTTCTTTTTCAGTTTTTTCTTCTCAAATTTTCCGAATTATCATAGTGTAGGCATTTCGCTTCCTTTTAAACACTGTATGAAGAATTTGGGGCATTTTTTTCAAGATGTTCAATTATCGCTCATTAGTTTGTGGAAGAGAACATTTGTTATCCAAGCTCTGGCAAAGACCTGCGACGCAATTGAGCGGCTAGCAAAGAGCTTAAATAGTCAACGATTTTTCTTCAAGACCTTCTTGTATGGCGGGGGCTTGCGGCACCATGAAAATTTTCCGCCCACTCTGTAACTGCTGTTACCATGATTGTAGTGCACGCTGAAAGTTGCACACAAAAAGAGCCGATGAACTGTAAATTAAGGACATAAGGCACACGGTGATTACACTACTATCTTTCCGACAACAGCAACTACTGGCCCATCTGACGACAATCCCAGCACTGCGCCGACGACTTATGACCTGTCCACTCCCGAAACAACTCCAGAGCCCGACCAGTGTTACAACTCCAAAACCTACCAGTGAGACTACAACCCCAGAGATCAGTGAGACTACAACTCCAGAGCCGACCAGTGGGGCTACAACGACAAATTTCGGTTACGCGACGTCTATTCTACAACTTACAGCTGTGTCATGCCATTTCCATCAAGAATTAGTCAATACGTCAATTTCATTAGTTGGTTGAAGAAAAACATCAGCATTTCGAGGGTTGTTCAAAATTTTGGAACAGTTTCAAAGATTGCCTTCTATTCAGCTTACCTCGCGGCAGCTACTTAGCAATCTACCGAATTTACATAACTGTGACGACGACTGTTGATCCAACACCTTATACTTTGACGAGTAGCTTTGAAACAACAGCTTATCCTGCGACGATGACCGTCGAACCAACACCTACCAGTCTACCAGAAGCAAACATCAACAATACTGGTTGCAACTGCCATCTGGAAACAGTTTGGCTGGATGTCTTTCTTCTCATGGACGCCAGTCTGTCCATGACTCCTAATGGGATTGACTCGGTGAGTTGAACTTGATGAGGGCCACATGCATTTTGATCCTTTCCGAGTAGCTACCGTGAGAGACCGTTTCGAACAGCACGCTCAATGCGACAGCAAAAAGCATTGCAGAAAACAAGCTCGATCGTTCATTTCGTTGAGGTCTCATTATTACCGCAATTCGAATTCGAGCCTTTCCCAGCCTCATAAGCAGGGTCAACCGTGACGTTCGCACATTTTCAGAAATTTCGCGCCCCCTCCTTTAGGGGTCTCGATGCGACCCCCACCACCACCATGAGACTCAGGAGGCTCCCCAATACGACGACCACCTTTCTCCCTACCCCGACCACCACCCTCGCCATCATGGCTGTTTCTATAGTATTTGATTCTGAGACCAGTCGACACAGCCCAACTCCGCCCCACTCCTCAAAACAAGCGAGGGGAGGAGGGCTTCATTGGTGCAATAAAACGACAAATTTTCTCTACCACTTGTATCACTTATCCTACCCCCTTACGCTCTACGCGCAAAGATTCACTAATCAAACCCATGAGTGCGACCCCCTCCCAAAATCTATCACAAATGCGACCCCCTCGTTCGAATGGTGCGAAAGCACGTTTGACCCTGCTCACAAGTGTGTTGGGAAGTGTAGTCGGAACGCCTCGCAACACCGTTCCACCAATGTGCGAACATTAGTTACACATTTCTAACAGTGCAAACACTGACTCCGGAACGAAACGTAGGCTCTCGGAGGGAAAACAAGGGTCTTGCCTAGGAGATTTAAAGCCGTTATCCTTAATTTTTTATCATCTGCACCGCATATTTAACCAATCTACCCTTCGTTTCTATTTGGGAACAAAATTTCCGTGCCATCCGCCCTAATCCATTTGCGACAATGTCGCCACCGTTGGGTGACGGGCTTCGAGCAAAAATTTCACGAGAAATTTATCTTCGACGAAATGTCTTTTCTGATGAAAGAAATCTTTATACTTTATCATAGGCGTGGGTGCTTTACTGTGGCCTAAAACTGCATAGACATGGTGCAACACCTGTTTTTGACAAATTCGTTGATAATTTGGATG